ACGGTCAATCATACTGAAGATTATCAATTGTACTACAAAACATTTAAAAGACTATTTCCAGTATAATGACCCGAATATCATCATTAATGTTTGACTGGCACACTTAAAAGTTTTATCACATGGCTAAATGATTGACTTTTATATTATGATAAGGTCATGTTTTTCTATAAAAAGATGCAAGAACTTTTAAATCAGGGTCCTATTGGTTTGTTTTACTTTTTACTTAATTAGTGAAAAACAAGATGGACTGATCTAAAAGTTTAATCTCTTGTGTAAAAAGTGCTATTTAGAGTTTATGCAAATGATAATTAAAGTTTCTATGTAAATAAGTGTAACATAGCGGGTATTATATTCAATGGTAGCGGCCATCCATATTTGCAAAGCCAGCATCATTTGCTGTACAGAAACCGGCAAAGTGTTGCTCAAGGCACTATAAACAAAGCAGCTGATAAAATGTTACACTCATAACTGTTAACAAAAACGGTTTCCGCCGTGTTAGGTGCAGGAGCTATTATTAGAAGGAGAAGAGGTAAATTTTTTTTTTTATTGGAGAGGGGGCAATCGAGCATGCGGCTCACCTGATGGTAAGTGACTACCGCCGCCCATGAACAACCGCAACACCAGGGGAATTGCAGATGCGTTGCCGGCCTTTTAAAAAGGAGTAGGCTCTTTTCTTGAAGGTCCCTAAGTCGTATCGGTCCGGAAAAATTGCTGGTGGTAAACTATTCCACAAGGAAGTTGTGCGAGGAAGAAAACATCTTCTAAATCGCACAGTGGTGGACCGCCAATCATCCAGATGGTGTGGATGGTATCGGGAGTTCTGCCGCGATGTGCGTTCGTGAAATTTGGCGGCTGGGATTAATCCGAACAATTCCTCAGAGCACTCCCCATGGTAAATGCGAAAGAAAATGCTAAGAGATGCAACATCTCTTCGCAGTGCCAATGAGTCGAGCCGATCGGAAAGGACTCGGTCGTCGACGATTCGAGCCGCTCTGCGCTGGATGCGGTCAAGTGAGAGAAGCTGGCACTGGGGAGCCCCAGCCCAGAGATGGGAACAGTATTCCATGTGAGGCCGAACCTGCGCCTTGTAAAGTTGCAGGCGTTGAGCCGGCATGAAATACTGTCCTACTCTGCTGAGCACGCCAAGCTTTTTAGAGGCCAATTTGGCCTTTTCTTCCAAGTGACCACGAAACTGCACGCTACTCGATATGTCGACGCCAAGGATTCCGATACTGGTTGAGGCAACAAGGGGAGTACCTTGAAACTGAGGAGATACGACAAAGGGGTTCTTTTTAGCGGTAAACGCGCAAACTTGTGTCTTCTGAGGATTAAACTGGACTAGATTTAGTCGCCCCCAATCCGAGACTTTGTCCAGCAAAGACTCGACTTCAGACACAAGTTTGTTCCGGTTGTTTTAGAAATGCGCAATCAATATTGTTTTGTCTGCAATTGAACATAAAATAAAAAATAACCTCAGCCAAAGAGCATAACGGGCATTATACTCAGGTCCATGAATTGGTATGAAAAAAAAAATTTTAACAGGTTTCAAAAAATCAATCAAAATTCAAAAAAACATAAATATTAAAATCAAAAAATGGATATATGTATGTCTATACATACATATAATGATTTATGGCCGCTTAGTAACTGACGGTGACTCACTATAACATCCTACAGTCACGCCGAAACTAAGAGGAGAGAATCACTGTAGAAAAGTTAATAATTTATTGCGGAAATTTTGTGATAAAATTAAAAAAATTATAAACTTATCCAAGTTAATCAACTTAGTCTAACTTATCCTTATGCGTTACAAAAAAAAAAAACAAATAATAAAATAGTGAGATGGCGTCAGTTTTTAAGAAGATATAACAAAAATAAACAAAAAAATAAATTTCAAAAAAGTTCAGTATTTAATTGATTATATACCGCTGACACTTAATCACGCTTTTCGAAACCGCGCCAGTTGTAAACAATACTTGTGTGAAAAGACAAAATCTTCTTTTGAAATTTCCGCCGAGTTGTAAGTAGAAGGCCAAACAGGTCACGTGTCAATTTTAATTAAATATATTTTATATGAAGTGATCTTGACTACGTTTCATCAATTAACCATTGGTAAAAATTAAAACAGGAATTTTACAATTGTTTACAAGAAACATTATTAGTTCAACCTTGCAGCTTGTTCATTATTTTTATTATAAATACCTATAAATGGATATATTATTAATAAATAGTTCCCATAATATTTTGGATTATTTTTTATTTTGCCCTATCTACAATGTTCTACGCTCTATAGAAAATGTGGCGTATGACATGACTGACAATCTTTCGAACGTTTTATCTAGGTGCAAAGATGTTTTACGTTTTCGTCGCCCCCACATGACATTTTTGTCAGCATAAGGTACTCTTCTATATCTGAAACGAATATAAATATTGCTACAATGTAAAGTAATATATACGGCTATACAAGTCCCTCTACTGGGCACAGGACTCTTTTTTTATTTCTGAGAGGGTTTTAGGGCAAGGAAATGCCCGCCGTGCTTCTCCAATGCGTGTTGACGAAAATTGCAATTACAAATTTCATTCGTGCTGTCGGGGATCAAACCCGGGAAAATTTACAGCGAACGCTTTGACCCAGATCTATTAATACGATACAAATAAATATGATTTAACATATATAATAAAAAACTCTTACGTACTTGAAACTTGAACACTTGATAGCTCGTGACGCCTACCGGACAAAGCTACAGCACAATGTAATTGAAGATGCGTAACCGCGACATAATTCTCAGTGATGCGCAAGCATAACAGGCAGTATGTCACTTATATAATTGTCATCTCTGCAGTCTATTAATCTTTGCACTTTTATAAGTAATACAGAACGTAGTTGCTAGACGGTGTTGACATCGGCTAAAATCTCTGCGATCGCCGTTTCGTCAAGGTCATTCAGGCTAGTTAAAGCCTTAAAGAAAATTTGTTCCACTGACAAATATAAATATAATTAAAAAATATGTTGCATTTAATAATTACTGTCTGAGGAACTTTGCTTTAATGAAGCATGTATTAGAAGCATTATAAGTAATGTAATTATAATTATAGTGAACACTAATTGTATAAAGTAACAGTTTTTTTTTAAAAAAAATAACATAATTTTTTTTATTGATAACCTGCTAACTGGGGAGTATAAATAAACCCATGTCCCGTTTTGAGTTAATAAATAAATGGTCAGTTTACTTTAACGCCGTTCGACGGCATTGAAATTGAAATGACGTTGACCGACCGAAGTGTGGCCACTCAGTTTATCGCGTTAAAATTTAGGCAATAATAGTTGCGTTTATGGGCATTGACGTTTCTCGTTACTGTGGCCCCAGCAATACAAAGTTGGATCAGCCTTGTGACCATTTACTTTTTTTTTTAAGTTTATGGCCTGGTATCTAGACCTTTAGGCCAAGTCTTAAGTATTTTTATTCGGTTTATTGTAATTTCCTCACTCCTTCATAGTATACTGCTTCACAATATGTTGATGCGTCACATTGTGCAGTTCTTGGGAGATTTTGGCGGCAACTTGATCCAGCAGACAGCTGATAATTGGCGATGGTATCTAAAGGTGCCTATGCAAACAAACAGCTTATCTTGAGAATCCATCACCATCAGAGCACTTGTTTCACTGTTTCCACTAATAGTTCACATGCGTAGACACTTAATACACAAAATCGCAACACTTTTACATATCAAAGTCCACTTAAAACCAATATGACATAGGCCTATGTCATAATTAGCTGTCAGATTCGATGTTGCCAATTAATAGACATAAAATCGACAAATAGATAGATAGCGATTTTTTTATTCGATTTATAATTTCATAGAAAAGAATAATGTTTGATTTGCTTTAATATCTGCACGCCTTTTAAACTACGTTTTGTTTTATTTACTTAAATTCCATTTTAAATGTATTTTTAAGAACAGATAAGAACAACAGTTAAATTGTGCAGTAGTGTTTTATGTTCTAAAGAGTTCGTGGTAAATCAACTAGCAATTCGTTTGTTTAATTATCATAATATTTATCGAAAAATAATTTTACCATTATAATAATGACACCATAAAAATGGATTGAAAAAATAGAATTGACATTTCTAACGAGATTTGTCATTGGCAACACTTTATTTTATCCACAAACTAATGGCTTGCGGATTTACCTAATGAGGGCTAATAATCTTCCACTCACCAGATGTCGCTAGTTGTGACTGAGGTAAAATTTTTTGTTACACAATGTCAGTTAATTGAGAAATTAGTTTTAAATAATAGTTTATCATTATCTAGAGTATTATATTAATACACAATACAATGCGTCAGTGGTTTGATTTTTAATTTTTTGCACATTATAACTCTTTTTTTTTTAAAAGTCGTCTTTTAGTTATATTTATAGTTTGGTTTATTCATTTCTAATGTAATTAATATAAAATAAAGCTAATAATACATAAAGAAACCTTAAAGATTACATTTTCCTAAGAAATTATCATCCCCGCTATGAAATCAGTCAAATATTTTACCTTACTCTAAAGTGGCGCCGCCCTGGTGGCAGAAAAAGTCGTGGATTGGCCCTCATTTCATTTTTATATTTTCGGTACTTTTTTTTTGTGCAAAAATATTGCAATCTTTTTTGGATACATAAATACCGCGATTAATTACCATAAAAAAAGATGGATTTTTTTAACAAATGCAAATTCTTGGGCGTTTCATGACCAGAATTAGGCATTCCCCTTTTCAACCTGTAAGCAAGTCTTTCGTCGTTCTTTTATTTTAAAGAAAATAATTAAAGTATTCAAAATCTCGTTGATAACTTGTAATTGTTGAATAGAAAATGTAAGTATGAATGAAAAAAAAATAATAGAAAAAGTGTATAACTGGTAGATTCGCTTGGTATATTTTCGTATATTTTTATTTTAAAGCGGTAACACTTTATAATGCGAAACTGTTTTCCGATTCCGTTTTATCGGCATCGCATCATTGTGCCGCCATGTTGGTTTGTCTTGGCGCTTTTTCGCGAGTAATGTAATGGCTGTATAAATCTTAAGTATTTTATAGTGTGATAATAAATAAAAAAGACGATTGTGCAGTGGACACTATTTTAATTGCAAAATGGATCCTTCTAAAATGAAGGTTGTGGATCTAAGATCCGAACTTGGTGCTCTTGGTTTGGACACGAAGGGTAATAAGGCGGCATTAGTAGACCGTTTGAAGAAGGCTCTAGAAGCTAAAACTGGCAGAGGTATATTTATTCGTTTCAAATTTTATTAACTGTTTAAATATTTTACACTTGCTATATTTTATCACCACGTATATTTGATAATACGTATTAGATGCACGTGTAGCAACGAGTGTCCCGCCATGTTTCATTTCGTTATTTAGTTAATAATCAATACTCCTGATTAAACTAAACCAAGTTTTATAAAAAATAAGGGTCACATACGAGATCACAGTTTTTAATGGTAAGGGGATGCTGACCTATGGCCAAATACCAGAATCATGATGTAGATGCGTTGTACCCCTGAGGACTAAGATGGAATGCCTCGTTAACAGTAAAAAGGATCCTTGGTTTTTTTTCACTCACTGGGACACAGCAGCATAAAGCTGCTATTTTACGCTAGTATTCTGCGAGAGCATGGTCCTCCCCGATCGAGCCGACGGACCATTTCGTGCTGCAGCCAGAAAAGCGCTCGTAAAGGGCATAGTTTTGTGCCTATTTCTAGCTGTAATTTTATAGCAGTTTAGGTGCCGCTCATAAGTGCAATGTTGTTTCGACTTTTTGCCTCACAATATTACATCTCCGTTACAAACTATTGCTCGGCCATGCAGATTAACCAACATTGCCGGAATATATTCTGCAAGATGTTGCATGTTGTATACAACACAACATTGTAGCAAAAGTATTGCTGAACTCTAGTCGAGTTCAGCAATACTTTTCAGCAACATTTTAACAGCTATATTATATATATTAAGATATAGCTTGTTAACAAGCCCCTGAATTCAGTTGTAGTTTGGCTCAACCACATAAAATGAAACTATATCTATATTTCATTAACAAAACTATGATAATACTGGTTAACATTGTATAATATCCAGAAAAAGAAGACTCATTTTAATTATACAAAACATTACTAATTATAGGCATGGGGGTGATACCGTCAAATCTTTGCAACAGAGCTACTATGATATGGAAATACCAACAAATAAGTACTCAGATCTTGGGTCAATTCATACCAGCAATACTTATCATAATAGTATTTCTGCCATGGTTTTGATGTTATTAAATTCTGCATTATGGATGTAAGCAATATTATTGTAATATAAAGATACTGAATACATCACTTTGAGTCACTCAGACCAAAAAAGATTGATATGTACATTTCAAGCGATGCAGAAATTATGTTCAACATGTAAGAATATGCAATCACACACACATACAACTAAAGACATGCTTATTACTCTTCACCATATTGTACAATACAATCATGTCTTTTTGTTATGTAAAATAGTAAGCTTTTAATCAAAAGTATGTTATCTAACCAACTTAAAACCACTAAAAGGAATATTTCACATTGTGAAGTCCATGCTCAGATTGTATAGAAAAATTAAAGCCCCAACTACAGAATGTCAAATTATTTTTTCTTTTTAGTTGCTTGTAGTGGAGGCTTTTACTTATTATTAAAAATATTTTTTTTACCCTTTAGAGTAGAATAAGAAATATTTCTAAAAATAACCCTTTGGATGTAATTTTTCCTCCCAATTTATACAGACCTAACCCTTCTTGTCACCTATTTAATAAAAAATAATTGTCAAAATCACTATTGATGGAGATAGTGCATAAGATTAAATAAACACAGTTCTATTATCATTACAGCCTATTAAAGTCCACTGCAGAACATATTGCTTCATACGGGGATATTTGTCATAGTTTCCTTGGCAATGTGCAACCACAGTTTTTTATTTTAGTTGTTATTAGGAAGACACTGTTGCCCATCACTTGATTTGTTTCCCTCTGTCTCCTCTTACAACACCCACAGGATTAAATGGAGTAGTGTATATTCTTCCATTGCCACTACACGATTCTCTTAGGCTATCACTAAATTATATCTTAAGTTATGGCCTAAAACATCAACCAGGACATACTACTGGATGAAAAAAAGTTGTGTATAAGATTGTATGTTTGCAGTTTCCATAATAAACTCTTTATATTTTGAAATTTGCCTATAAAACATAAAACAACATTTATTCCATAATATTCCCATTACTATGCTTATAAAATTCATTTAGGTCTTCCTTGCTTGTCTTTGTTTTGCTTGAGCTATACTTTGTTTTCTATTCTGGTTGTACTCTCTTTACTTGGGCTATCACTTTCAGTTAAATCATTTGGAGGTTGAAGGGATTTATCAGAACTCCATGTGTTCATCAATCTAACCGATTTACCAATAGGTAAATTTTAGGCAATAGCCCAGCCAAAATTTGTCAGAATTTCCCATACTACTTTTTTCACAATTACATTTTTTATATATCATCATTTTATGTTTTGAAACTTAACATTTTTAAGCGCCTTGAAACACAAAACCTTTAATTCACTCTTGAATGGTAATCTTATTTACATGTATTCTAGATAATCATATGCCATATGGCCAAATACCCAAACGCCTAATTGAAAATGTTGTTAAGTCTTGTGGTGTCACAGTCACTTTAACTTCGTGACAGAGATCACATGAGCCTCAATTTTAAATAAAAGTTCTATGATTTATCAGCATATTTGACAATGAAAAAGTAATTAGACAATTAGTTTAGGGATTTGTACTACAAATAAACCCATTATGATGGGAAATAGAATAATAAAGAAAATAACAAATTGTAAAACCTCTTGTAAATAAACTAAATATCTGTAAAAATTTCTTTTTAGTATAATTATTTTTAGTTAAAGATCTACAACACAATTTTTTATTTATTATAAGAGCTTGAAAGATAATCAGTCTTACTAATAATAATAATAATATATCTTATTCATAATCACAATTAGGTGCAGCCATTTTAAAAATCACTTGAGTTCACCACAAATCAGCATTCTCATCTTAACAGTTTCCCTAACGTGTTGTAGACACTAGTTAAACAATTGAAATGTTCATATATGATTCATGGGATAGGGAAAGTGTCATTCATATATGATTCATGCAAAACATGTAGTTTTTGTTAGATTTTGACGGCAACTTGAGCCAGCAGACTGTTGGCGATAGTATCTCAAGGCGCCTAAGCAGACAGACATCTTATCTTAAGATTCACATCACCATTGAAGCACTTGTTTCGCTGTTTCCACTAATAGTTCACATGTGCAGTTATTTAATACACAAAATCGCACCACTTTTACATATCAAAATCCACTTCAAACCATTATTTAAACAATAATACAGAAGCAGCAATCCACCTCTAGTCAAGTTCCCCCAAAACTCGGACAGCTACTCATATAAATAATTACTCTGACAGTTCATTTAAGTATTGGAGTAAACTTTTTTCATACAAGGCAATGTGAGTTCTTTAATCATCTTTTTATATAGTTCTTTCTGATGAGGGCCATTTTGTTCTTTGCCATAATATTATGACAATAAATAATATACAAAGTGAATGCTATATATTCACATGCCATAAAACATTCCCATTGTCATTATAATACATTTGTTTCAAATCATTTAAATAATAGTTTTCAGTGGTTACTGGCAGGGACCATACATATATTGCTTACACATACTATAAAATATCCTGATATTTCATACTCTGAGCTACCATGGTTGTCAGATTAAATTGATTAACTTTTGAATGCACTTTTGACTACACAGTGTTCGCGGAGACATCGATCCTTGATACAACCACGGAGGATGTAGATGAACCGGCGACCCCGCGGAAATTGGGACCGGCAGCGCGGACTACACGGAGATCTTCCTCATCACGGCTAGTTGCTACACCTGCCAAGGTAGGTTTTAAGATTTGGTTTGTTGTATTATTTGTTTTTTCATTATTACCTACATAACAAAAGTCTGTTTAATAAACGTAAAAGCTTTAAAATACTGTTAATCAAATATTAAAATAAGAAAATGTCTTTTTTTTTTTTCCGTTTCCGGCGGCTAATTAGTCAACACGCACGTCACTTGTCTCTGTCGAAATTTATCGAAAATTAGTGTTAAATAGTATCAAATCAGTGCTGAGGAACTAAATAACATCAAAATAAACATTAACAATCACATATGAAGTGCATTCGCAGTGCTAGTGAAAAAACATTGCCAAGAAAATCATAAAAACTATACGACAATTTAACCTAAAAATTATAGAAGCTAGTATCATAGACTAGAGATACTGTGTACAGCCAGTGTCAAGTACCAACCTCACGACAGTGATAGTGACATATACAGGGTTGCCACTAATTTGAAGGAAAATTTCCTAAACTAATTACGAGTTACCACAACATAAACAGAACTACCCCATCTGAAAAATTTTACAGATCATAAATCAAATGGACAAAAACATGGAATTACTTCTCCTCAAACTTGACGAGAAATTAGAGAAACAAGCTGAAAAAATAACTCAATCGGTAACTAAAAATGTCATGGAAGCGCTAGATGAGAAGATGAAAACAATTATTGAGGAAAACAATTTCCTTAAAAATAAGGTATCAGAACTGGAACAAAAACTGATAGCAGTAGATAAAGAAAAACGTAAAAACAACCTTGTGTTCTTCGGAATCGAAGAGAAGGGAAAATCTGAAGGGGAACTAGTTGACTACATTAAGGACCTCATAGTAGACATGGGAGTTCACATGGATAGTCACGAAATTAGCAATGTGTATAGAATCGGAAAACAAAAATTGTCCAGTCATAGCATCTATCACAACCCAATGGAAAAAACACCTTATACTCAAAAATAAGACAAACCTCCCTTCAGGTATTAATGTAAAAGAAGATTACTCTAAGGAAATCCTGGAAAAACGAAAACAGCTACAACCGCAACTTGAAGAAGAGAAAAAGAAGGGACACATCACAATAGAGAGAAGAGGAAACGAGAAACTTCAGATTCTCCTAAGTCATCAGCTCAGAAGAAAGTAAATATAAACCAATCCTTGAGAAATCCTTCACAATCGCTATCCAAAACTAGCAATAAAGAGGTCATGAGACCTAGCACACTTAACTATGTCAACCGAGCAAGTTTTGATCCACAAATAAACGCTTCAAAAAACTAATAACCGCCTCAGAAAATCGAAAACAAACAATAGCAATAAGAACTAAAATTAACAACCAAAACAAAATAACAAATAATCTCCCACAACGGCTGGTCCCCGCGGGAGTTATAGACCACCACCCTCTAACAAAAAGAAGAAACAAAATACTCAACATTGCAACCTTAAATACCAGAACCCTTTGAACTGAAGAAAGCCTAAATGAACTAGAAAAAGCCCTTGAAGACATTAAATGGGATATCCTGGCATTTAGTGAGATGCGAAGATTAGGAGAAAAGATTGAGGAACACACTGACTACATACTATTCCATAAAGGTGAAGTAGCTGGTCAGAGAGGAGTAGGATTCTTAATCAAACAGTCAATGAAACAACACATACAAGAGCTAATTGGAATTTCTGATCGAATAGCCATTCTTAACATCGGCATACCAGGTTATAAAAATATATGGTCAATCATATAAAGACCAATGGCAGACTTTCATAAATAAAATTAGTTGAGAATGAATGGTAGTATCTATATATCAAAAATATCTTAAAATGTTAAGCGTCACTCCCTTAATAACTCTGTCAAAGAATTTTGTCCTGAGAAGGCATCAAAAAAAAGATATTTAGATTTGAACCTTTTTAGGTTATGTCTTATGTCACTTGGAAAAAGTCATGCGTCCTGTGGTTGTTTGATGTTAGCTTAATACATTCTCAACATAATGTGCCCTAACTACATAATTGAGAGTTTTTAGATTATTGTATCTCTATTATATATTTGCATACTACAAATGTATATTTCTGGCATGGCTCCAGGGCCTTTGTGTCATACACTGACAGTCTCAGAAGGGCTAGAACCTAGAGCCGTAAAGCCAGTAAAAAAAACAGTGACATTTTGATTTAGCTAGTGTTGCCATAGCATTAAATGGAATTGTTACATATTACTATGATTGAGAAAATGTATTATTGTAGGAAGTTCTTTGTAAGAGACTTCTTTTCAACCATATCACTTTTATTATTATTATTATTACTGATTGTAGTATAGTTATTACTAATAATAACTTAATATAAAAATATTTTGTGTTTGTGTGTTGTGTTGGTAGTCTTACAAAGTGTATACGAAAATAGTATGAATATTACTATAAGGACAACACTGGAATAGAGTAAAATGATTTAAGTCATTTGATATTCCCAAAAATGTGCTTTTTTCTGTGGTATTTAATTACAATACATTTTTATTTGAAAAATCATAGAAAAATAATAAAACTCATTTTATATATAACTTATTTCTAGACACAATAATTTTTGTCAACTATTTTTCTGCCATTGCCCTTTATGCTCCAACAGAGCAAGCAACAAAAGCAGAAATTAAACTTTTCTAAAAAGAATTATCACAAACGCTAACAAGATATTCAAATAACCATGTTATTATAATGGGCGACTTCAATGCTCAAGTTGGAGTGAAACAATGCAAGGAGGAATACGTCCTGGGGAACTTTGGCCAAGGAAAGAAGAAGTCCCCATGGTGAATTGCTCGTCGAATTCTTGCTGCAACACAACCTAACACTCTTGAACAGTTTTTACAAGAAAAACCAAAAGAACAAGTGGACATGGATATCCCCCGATGGCAACACCAGAAACGAAATTGAGTAAAAAAATCAGAGAAAACGTAAGAAAAGACAGGAAGACCAAGAGGCTGCAAACATTAAAAAAGCATGTAGTGAAAACAGGAGGAGTGAGAAAAGCGCTTAAAGAACTTAGAGAATCAAATAAAGAATGGATACCAAAACTAAACAAAAAGGAGAATACCTCATCCAATACAAAAAAGCATAAACGAAATAGCCACAAAGTTTTACCAGGACCTTTACTCATATCCAGACAGAAAACAAAAACACGATTCGAGGACAGATGCCAGTAATAACCAGAAAAAAGTGATAACTGAACCAAAAATACTTCCCAGAGAAGTAGAAAAGGCTATTTATAGTCAGAAGATGGAAAAAGCTCCAGGTCCAGACAAAGTGACAAACGAACTTATTAAAGGCCCCCTTGAAGAACTACTACCAATACTCACTTCATTATTCAATGAAATACTATCAATGGGTCTAATCCCTACTAAATGGAAAACATCAAACATTATACTTATATTCAAGAAAGGACAAAAGGAAGATATAGGACACTACAGACCTGTAAGTCTGATGTCAAATATCTACAAGGTATTTTCTAAAGTTATCCTGGAAAGAATAAGCAAAAAGTTAGACAAAAACCAACCACGGGAGCAAGCAGGCTTTACACATAATTACTCCACTCTGGACCACATAGTGTGTATGTGGTCCAGAGTGGAGTAATTATGTTTAAAACCACATACACACAGTGAAACAAATTGTAGAAAAATATAATAAGTTTAATAAAAAACTATATGGCATTCATCGATTACTCTAAAGCTTTTGACAGCAGGGGATATCTTTAAATTATATCAATATTATAAAGAACATATACTTGAACGGACAGGTCCCAGTGGAAAATGTTAGAGGAGGCCTATGCCAATAGGCAAACTGAGCTTCGGGACATATTATAACAAACAAGAACATGTATTCATATTTAACCAAGAAGGTTCAGAATAAAAAAGGCTTATTATTATTATTATTATAAATGTCTTATTTAGGTTAAGCCATTTGTTATAGTATAATCCCAGTGCCACAAATGTGAACAATGTTTGGACACGCATTTTCGTAAATGCACCTGCGAGACTTGTTTTCAAACATTTGCACTTACATTTATTGCAAAGATAGTTCACTGATTGGACGACGATTTTGTGGACTCTTCTGGATCTTTGTTTTATTTATATTTTGCTTTATCATCAGCCTTAAAAATTCACTGCTGGATGTGGATCTCTCCAGGAAGGATTTGCCTTAATCGTCATGTTTACCAGACATATTGCATTTATGACCATTTGGTTACCTTTAATTTTATTTTTCATTTGTAGTAAAATCTATTTCATAACGTTAGTCCTAGTCCCAGGGGTTCTCAAACTTTTTCTTAAAAGTTTGCAGAGCACTAACAGGTTTATTATTTTGTCCAGTGTACCAGGTAGTTTTTAAAAGTAGGAAATAGTCAATATTGGTGATAACCACATATTTTTTAAAGGCATGGAATAAGGCTTGACACCACTACTCTCTAAACTGCTCTAAATTGATCTTAGAGCGATATTTACTCTCTATTACATCTGTAGCTGAAAATTTGGTTTATTTTGTACCCGTGAATACTTAAGTTTAGTTTTCGGACAATTTTAAACAGGAGCGTCTCACGGTGCCCCTCTTTAATCTCTACGGTGCACACTTCACGAACCCTTGGCTTGGTCCATTGTTGACACATTCAACTGCTCTGATCACAACAGGTGTCCCTGTTACCAAACTTTGCCAATTTTGCTATCAAAGGGGCGGGTTGTCCAAACTTTAACTTTGTTTCAAAGTTCATCAAAGTGTTAAGTGCAGGAAAACCAATATTTAACCAACGTGCAAATGTGTGTATAAAATTTGTTAACAATGCAAATTGCCTGTACCTACTTAGAGACTGTAAATATTTATATATTAAGAAGCTAACCACACTCCTATTTACACTACACAAGTGATTTCCTGAAAGACCGAGTGGTCAACACTGCTCTTTGCCGACGTCACGGCACTATACGTCGTCGAATACAATAAGAGATTTCTCACTAAGATTCAAAGAGCTGCCGATCATCTAGGTGAATGGTTTCGTCTGTGGAGAATCGAAGCGAACTTTGCGAAAAGTGTAACTGAAACAGAAACTTTTTTATTCAATGCAGATTATAAATAATACTTTGAAAGTCACTGTTATGTTTAAATCACCACTGGTTCAAAAAAAAATTTTGTCCTGGGAAGAACTAGCAAGAAACCCAGTGGGACTTATTTTTAAAATAAAAGCTTACAATCATGTATGTTACACAATTAACAACACGAAACAAATTAGAAATAACCTGGTAGTAATCACCTCATTCCCAGGGGTTATTATCATCCATAATTTCCTTAATAACTTTGAGCAGGTCAAATTTTGTATTATTGTGTAGCAATATACTTTCCTGCAATCACTCGTCGGAATTTAAATCCGAGAAAATCCTTAGGTATGGATCACCCTATACGCCGCAGTATCTCCTGGGCATCGTCAGCCAGTAACCTCTGGATCACTTAGTAATTGTATGACCTCCGTGAAACACATTCAAAACTTTTGTAACTGAGCCAAATTCGTTTCTAGCCGACTCCATCCTCTAGTTAACACTAAGAGCAAACTCCTTAAGATGAAAGCTCCTACTTTACAAAGTCTGCGTAAAACCCATTTTGCCTTACGCAAGCGTAGTCTTCACCCATCCATGCAATTTACAATGCAATTTTTGCAAACCTTAAAGTTGTTCAAACCATTTTCAATCAGATATTACAAACTTCCGACAATTTATGAATATTTCAAGATGTCTCGGCACTACTATGAAAGCGACAAAGCCGACTCAAATCCTCTTGTTGCCAATAAAACCACCTATGTTCCGTCTTATAACATCAGTCAGTCTTCGAAGACCCTGCAACGTGTTATTCGAAACCCTGGTTCCTTTCAATACCGACGATCGAAATTCAGCACTATGTGTGGGTCACTCTTTTACACTGTGTACAAACACCATACAACATGCCAACACTCACCGTTCAGAATATTGATTTACACATCAGAGCCGGGGTCCGTTCACTTTTGTTCGAACAGTGGTTAAATTTTTTACTGATTAGTGCATAGGAGGAGGCCGTACCCGAAAACTGACTTTCGAACACGAGCCGAGTCATCATCATCAGTTCTCCTGTTATATAGTGAAGAAGGTCTAAAACCAACTGGCTAACTGCACTAACATCACAGAAAAAACAATTGAAGCTAAGTCTAGTGCTGACCTAAGCATATTTTTACCAGGATATAATTAAGAAAGTAAAGAAATGTTTAAAGTCTTAAATACTCAAGCTATTCCATTTAATGCTGTGACAACATTTCAATTTTGTTTTTACAATTTTTATCAGACAATCTGTGTTTATGTGTGCAGAGTTAGCATGAAAATATCTAGCAATTTAAATTTCGGACTGAGACTTGCAAAACCTGTTTATATTATTATTACAACTTTCTTTAAGCTTTCTATTTCTTTCACAATAAATGTGACTTAACAGTTTCTACTCCCTATACGTAAAAAATTACCAAAACATACATATAGTGTATCTTTGTTGTCAAAATTTGTGAATTTAAAAATAGTTTTTTTCACCAATGGTTTTGTATTACTTGCACTTTGTCACACAGGAAAGTAAAATGTTTCATGGTACCAGACACATAATATTCTATACTTGTTCACAGCAATCAAGAGATGACCAACCAGATTCTATAGAGGAAGAGATTAAAGAAGAACCAGATGAAGATTCAGAGCCCAAATCTGATTCAATGAAAAGAAACGAAACCCCACGGAAGTCTGATACATTTAAAAGGCAAGATAACCCAAGAAAAGCAGAAAGGGATGGTTCCAAAGATGCCAATGAGGATGTTTACTATGTGGAAGATAAGTTAGTAACATACTCATACACATTTTCACGTTTATTTATAAGTGTTTTTCAAAATAATTGTACGTATCAAAATTGTAGTTACGAAAAAAGTAACGAAATCGTTGTAATTGTTACTAAATTGTACCTATTAAGCCACGTGTACACTGACTACTGAACTATTCCGAATTACTGATTACCCTACTACGTATAGTAAAAAAGGGTTGTGATAAATACTTCTAGAATTATATGGTCAGTTTGTGGTCAAGTGACATTATGTGTATGTGTGTGAATTATGAACTTGATTAATTATACCCTTTTTATTTAAATTCATCCAATTTATTACTTCATATTATTAAAAATAATTTAGATTACTCTTTTTATTTAAATTTATCCAATTTTTTACTTCATATTATTAAAAATAATTTAGATCTTCGTCGCAATATAATACATATCTAACGGATTTTTCCGATATTTGAAGCATTTAAATATGTTATACAATTAAATCTTTGGGTACCATCTCCTTATCGTCACGAATTGTTTTACGGAACTTTAATTTGTCTTTTTTACCGATAGCTTAAAAAAAAGATATTGTGTATAATGTTTCTGCTACATTGATATGTTCAATTATGCCAACATAATATTTTCAAGAATGTCCTATATAATTTCGTAATAGTACAGTATCTTCTATATCAAATATTTCATTTTCCGCAGTATCAGAGTATTACCGCTTTGCTCCCTTTCCTTCATTACTCATCTCTGGCTCTTTCTGTTAATCATAAATCTATATTTCTTCCCTTCTATTACCCTTATTTGCTAGTACCTCTCCTTATTTGCTAGTACCTCTTTATCTGTCCCACCAATCTAAATTTCATCCTGCTCTTTATCATTCTTAATCTGTAACTCTTCCTCTGTCCCATTTATTTTCATCAACTCACCTTTTACATAGTTTAGACGTCTTGTATAGGAGCGACATCGAACGTGCAGCCGACAAAATCTCTAGAGTGCGCGTGTCCGATGCGACATAAGAAAAAAAATCTTATATGTGTAGTCTCATATAACAACCAATGCAACTGAGTTTCTTATTAGACATTTCTCAAAGATACAAGAAATTTTCTTATAATATGCAAAAGGGCTTAATTTACTCAACTACCTAGTAATGCTTATCACTACTACTACACCAGTGTATACGTTACTTAAGACTATACAATTTCGTAACATAACGAAAAATTACGAAATTGTTAGTGAAAAGTA